GCAGTGGACCAAAAGCAGGAAGTCTTGCTTGTCATGCTTCCCTTGTAGGTCACAAGCCCTGCCCTTAAAAGCATTTAAAAGATAAATATTAGAAATATTAGACAAATATCATAAACTAATGGGGCTCTTCTTTTACCTGGTTGAGGTAGAAGTACGTTTCAGCTCCTTGCAGGTAAAGATCCTGCTTGTGCCAACAGTTCATAAAACACATGGTAGTTTCTCTCCTCCTTAGCCTAAAGGAACATAGTTTAATTTAATTGCTTGCAGGTGTACTAAGGTGCAAGTTAATGAATAAACATCTAACCTGGAAGACGATTCTTGATTTTTCAAGGAGATATTAGATAACAACAACACCACTAAAAAAATAAATAAAGGGAGATCATATCATGTTCATTTAATGTTCACTACCCCTTAAATCAACATGCAGTACACTTACTGGCATATGTGGATGTGCAGGTACTTTCCAAATCGGCTAGAGTTGTTGTTCAGTATGGTCTTGGCATTACCAAAGCTCTCAAGAATGGGTAAAACATCCATTGGCTGATGAGAGGGAGATTATCTTTTTGAGTTGTGCGATTATGTCTTAATTTTCCTTATGTCTTGATAAATTGATTTACCTGACGTAATTTATCATTTCTGCCTTGATACATGGAACTCAGGTAATGGACTCAGGTCTTGCCTGATCCACTTTGTCCACTGTTGAGACATTCACATTCATTCCAATGTATAATATACACTGTAGGAATATGTGTGTATATATACATGTAATGGATTATGTACAGTCATTATACAGTTGTGCTCATAAATTTGCATGCCACTTGCAGAATATGCTAAATGTTAATAATTTTAACAAAATAAGAGGGATCGTGAAAATTGCATGTTATTGTTTATTTAATACTTTCCTTAAGCTATTTCACATTTCACAGATGTTTATATATTCTCCACAAGACAAAATAATAACTGATTTTATAAAAATGATCTCATTCAAAAGTTTACGTACCCTTGAATCTTAATAATCTGTGTTGTTTCCTGGATGATCCACGACTGTTTTTCTGTGTTGTGATAGTTGTTCATGCATCCCTTGTTGGTTCTGAGCAGTTCAACTGCCTGCTGTTCTTTAGAAAAATCCTCCACTCTCCTGCATAATCTTTGGTTTTCCAGCATCTTCTGCATATTTGAACCCTTTCCAACAGTGACTGTATGAGTATGTATGACTGTAACAGGATGTTGATGTGTAAATTTTTCTTATTTTGTTTATATCCCCATATTATATCCCCATATCATATTTTTTTCATTTGGTACTGCACTTAAGAAGCTACATAAATACTTAAATGTTTCCCAGAAGTCCAAATAAGTACAATATACCCTGATCATCCAATTCAAAAAGTTTACACCCCCAACTCTTAATGCATTGTGTTGCCTTCTTGAGTATCACTAAATGTTTTCACCTTATATAATAGTTATGTATGAGTCCCCCAACTGTCCTCCATGTGAAAAGATGGATCTCAAAATCATACAGTCACTGTTGGAAAGGGTTCAAATATGCAGAAAATGTTTGGAAAACCAAAGAATATGCAGGAGCTGGAGGATTTTTCTGAACTGCTCAGGACCAACGAAGGACTCATGAACAACTATCACAAAACAGAAAGGCAGTTGTGGATCATCCAGGAAACGACACACAGTATTAAGATTCAAGGGTATGTAAACTTTAGTATTAAATAAACAATAACATGCAATTTTCATGATCCCTCTTATTTTTTTAAATTATTAACATTTTGCATATTCTGCAAGGGGCATGTCAATTTATGAGCACAACTGTATATGTATGTGTACTGTATGTCTCTATGAATATGGATTCATAGATGTGTGTTTATGTATGTATATGCAAACGTATATGTGTAACGCATACGTATAGTGTATATGCATATGAAACATGCCCATAATCCTCCTCACTTTATGATGATGCAGTGCTCTTGGGTGGTATTCTGAGATTGGCAAAAGGCAGCATCTGCTGTGGCATATACTGTATATGACTACAGGGACAATGAAAATCAATCTTTCAACATGACAGTTAAACACTTCTCAAAAAAAAAAAAAAAATTGCTTACTGCCAAACACTGCTTAAATTCTCATAAGTGAAAGTACTCACGGTGGATTATTGTGCTTCTCTTTACCCTGGTACTGCTGTCTCAGATCCTCAGTGTAGATGCTGAGAGGCTTGAAGGGGTTGATGGACAGGAGCATATCACCAATATACGTCTATTGGTTTTAATAAACCGTTTTAATAAGGTTAAAAAGACAACTGAATGTCAGAGAGAAGATCACATTTGATTGTCTGGAAAAGGTAATGCATACATAAATTGAATCCCGATGAAACCGCTTCTTCAAATTCAGCAGAACAGAACTCTCACACACCTCTCTGAAATAAGATGCATACTTTGTTTCAAAACAATTCAGACAAACTCAGCATGCCATCTGATGTGCCAGTTAATGTTTTGTTCATATAATTCACTTTTTAGTGTGGCTTTTGACAGTCTACACAAGGAAGTGTACATCAGGTGATTGCTGCGATCACTCACTCCAGCTGTGCCAAATCTTCCACCTCATCCACCTTTGCATATTCTGCAAGGGGCATGTCAATTTATGAGCACAACTGTATATGTATGTGTACTGTATGTCTCTATGAATATGGATTCATAGATGTGTGTTTATGTATGTATATGCAAACGTATATGTGTAACGCATACGTATAGTGTATATGCATATGAAACATGCCCATAATCCTCCTCACTTTATGATGATGCAGTGCTCTTGGGTGGTATTCTGAGATTGGCAAAAGGCAGCATCTGCTGTGGCATATACTGTATATGACTACAGGGACAATGAAAATCAATCTTTCAACATGACAGTTAAACACTTCTCAAAAAAAAAAAAAAAATTGCTTACTGCCAAACACTGCTTAAATTCTCATAAGTGAAAGTACTCACGGTGGATTATTGTGCTTCTCTTTACCCTGGTACTGCTGTCTCAGATCCTCAGTGTAGATGCTGAGAGGCTTGAAGGGGTTGATGGACAGGAGCATATCACCAATATACGTCTATTGGTTTTAATAAACCGTTTTAATAAGGTTAAAAAGACAACTGAATGTCAGAGAGAAGATCACATTTGATTGTCTGGAAAAGGTAATGCATACATAAATTGAATCCCGATGAAACCGCTTCTTCAAATTCAGCAGAACAGAACTCTCACACACCTCTCTGAAATAAGATGCATACTTTGTTTCAAAACAATTCAGACAAACTCAGCATGCCATCTGATGTGCCAGTTAATGTTTTGTTCATATAATTCACTTTTTAGTGTGGCTTTTGACAGTCTACACAAGGAAGTGTACATCAGGTGATTGCTGCGATCACTCACTCCAGCTGTGCCAAATCTTCCACCTCATCCACCTCCACAGCTTGGCTGCTTCCTGGCATCATTACCTGAGACACAAAGTAAAGGAAGCAGAGCAGAGCTGTCACTGAGAGCCCCCAGTGGGCAGACATGTGGATAACACAACACTATTTCCCAGCTTCCTGTTTCGAATTAAACAATAAGCATTGTAGATGTCAATAAGGTTACCTGCATAATTGAAAAAGAGTTCAACAGCAAATTATTCTGCATATGCCATACCTGCGTGCTGTTAAGTCTCTCCTCTAGCATATTTTGGGTTGGATCTTCAGATTCCCATGGGCCTCTGCCATTATGGACTGGAATTATGTGCGGGCCAATAAACGCTCTGTTGACTTTGAGGGGATCTCTTCTTCAGGCTCATGCTTAACTGCGTCCACTACTATTTTCTCACATGAATCTTGATTTGGCTCTTCAACAGCATCTTCGCTGTCTTCTGGAGGTTGCTCTTTGGCGTTCTTGCTTTTATCATTCTTTCCTTTACCTTTCATTGAAATCAGCATACGAGACTGTCTGTTCAGAAGACTTTTGGGACCTTTTGTTGGGGGTGCTGCCTGATCTTCCTGTGTCTTGCTCATTGTCTTTGTTTTACTTGCCAACTGTAGAATTTGAGACTTACCTTTAGTAGCGCCACCTTTGTAGAGAGCCATTCCATTAATATGAACTCCTTTTGAGGGCACAGAATCGTCTTTAGGCTCCTCTCCTCTAGAAGGCCCCTTCTTTTGTAGTATCTTAGATTTTAACATCTTTTTCTGCCCCTGGAGGTGAACTGTCAGGTTTAGCGGTCCTGGTTTTCCTTGCCCCGTATCACTCAGTACCTCCTCAGAGTCGTCTTCTTCTGCACTGCTAACAGGTTCCTTCTCGGGTTCTTCTTTGATTCTGCTTTCAGCAGGCACATCGGGATTGTCCTTTCTCTCACTTTTCTTCTCCTCTCCTGTTTTTTCCCCTACATCGTCTTCTTCCTCCCCTTCTGTTTCTTTGCCTACATCTGACAGTTCTTCTTCACCAATTAATACACTTGCGTCGGTCTCAGCGGTGTTCTCCACGCAATCTGACCCCTCCTTGTCATCCTTTCCTTCTTCATCACTCTCTTGTTCTGAGCTCTCTGCTTTCTCGGTCTCCGATTCGTCCTCTTCGGTGTCTACTACTTTAGCACCTCTCCTTCTCGCAACTTTTGCAGGAGTTTTGGCTGGATTGTTTTTCTGGTCAGGTTTTGATTTGACAGCTGGTAAGTTAGTCCCCTTAGCAGGTAAGACTTTGCCATTTTGCTTTCTTGCTTTGGCTATTTGCCCAGAGGTCTCTATCTCTTCATCTGGCGGTTCCTCGGTTTGGTCACTGTTCCCAGTTTTCTTCTCTTTTTTGTTCTTACCTTTCCCAGCTATCTCTTCCTTCTTAACAAATGTATCACCTTTTCCTTTCTCACTTTCATTATTATTTGAGAGTATTTGAGATTCTGTTTTTCCTCCTTTTTTGGGGGGAATTTAGTCTTTTTTGTCTGTCTTTCTTGTCACCGCTTTCTGCTTCCCTCCTCGAGCCCTGGAAGGGGATTTGACTTGAGGCATGATTCTAGGTCAAAGTAACCTCACAGGTCCTGTTTCCGACTTTTCCTCCAATGCCAGGACATTTCTTTGATGACCTAAGAATAATAAAACATTTTCAAAGATTAAAAGACCACAAAAAGATGTAGCACGAAATTATTCAATACAAATCCATCTGTCTGCAAAACTTTCGCTAATTTTTTACCTTTGTGCAGGTCTAGTGAAACTGATGCATATCAGCAACCTAAACTACCATGGGTAGAGATCATATGTCATGTCTTTCAACTGAAGTGCAAGGTGTACCTGACCTAATTGTCACCATTAGGACTGGGTTTCAGGCATTTAGCTCAGCACTCTCAATAATGCTGGTTGGATCAGAGATTTTGACTTTATATATAGATAGATCAAGCACCGTTTAATTTGTAACATAACATAATACACACAAGTATGCAAATACCACGTAAATCAAACATATTTAAAAAAAACTTTACTGCATCAGTGTAACACTGAAGGACTCACCCGTCTTCTCAGGTACATATGAGGCATTGAGGGGGTCTCGAGAGTTTTTCTGATAGTCCCAAACACTCCATGGATTAATCCTGTGACCGGACTCAAACACTAGAGTCTTTCTGACACAAATACACACACACATGCACAGGCATTCAAGGGCTGTGGTGAATAATTTATCTGAGGGTACACCATATAGTTATGCACCCATTCATATCGGCAGCTGCTGAACAGATGGTGGAAAGGTGAGAGGCTTCACTGCAGGGGTGACAAAAGGTGTTGATACATGAGAGAGCAGGAGAAAGACACTGACAGGTGCTCACATGCTTACAAAGAAATTCCAGCAGACATTCCTTCTAAAACTTTTCAGAAAAGTCTGTGGTTTTCTTTCTCCATCATAAAAAAGGTCTATACTAGAATGCCGAATTAAAACACAAACACACACACACAAAACTTTTTAATAACACTAGACAAACAATAACCTATATATCAGGATGAAACCAAATACTGAAAGTTTTATGTTAAAAACAGAAAGTGCATCTGTATGGATAAAGTGCAAGGTCATTTATAATTATTAAATACTTAAGTTTCAAATGAAGTAAATTTGCTAAGTTTTTTTTTATAAGTAAAATACAGTACGCACAAAAAATAAATCTGATAACCTTTTCTTTCTTTCTTTTTTGCCCTGTCCTTAAACCAATTTGTTATTAATATTGCCCATTGTAGAGAATTACAGTGGGGCAAAAAAGTATTTAGTCAGCCACCAATTGTAGTATTATTATCTGACAGTTGTTTTTAATTTGAATCTTACATTTAGAAGCTAGACCATGCTATTACAAGAATTATATTTATTTATTCTCTTGCTTGTGCTGTGTGACACAATAGTGTAAACGGCTATTCTCCAGAATTCTTTTAGAGATGGTGTCCAATATCATGCAGGCAAAACATTTCAGCTACTGCGATTAGGGAACAAAGCATCTCTCAATAATAGATGATCAAAAATCTTGGCTGAGTCTGTATGACAATTGATCTGACCAGAGAGAGATTTCTTTTCAAATATTTTCAAAGGCTCCAAACCTCTTATAAGTAGCCATAAATTGACTAGACAGACGTACAGTTATGGTTCACTTAGAAAAATAAAAAAAGAGTCATGCATATAGTCATAATTCTTTCGCTCCTTTCTTGAAAAAATATTAATTCAATTACGAACTGAACAAATTTAGTATTGAATGTACGTGAACATAAAATAACTTAATCACTACTTTGATATAATTTAACTTTTTTTTAAATATACAGAGTTCAAATGTATATCTTGTTTATTATTTACAATAATTGCCCAATACGCCATGCTAAGCAATTTTAGGCCCATTTCAAACTTATGCAATTACTAACATAAAACAAAGACAGCATAACTGGGCAATTATTGTAATGCATATCGCTGCACATTACATTCTCATTTCATTCATACCAATACTAATTACAAGAATCACATAAAAAAAAATATATATATATATAGACACAACATAGCTATCACACTTCTAAATTATTGTAAAAACTCACTTTTTTTAGTTTAGTCAAACTAAAAAAAAAAAATCTCATATTGTTTCTAAACCACAGTTAAGGGTTTTACTCTTTTCACTTGTTTCTAAAGCATTTCAAGTTACTATTTGTATGAAGATGCTCTATAAATAAGTTAATGTATTACTGCTAGATTAAAAACCTTCAAAGTCTCCTGAGCTACAAATATTGAGTTAATCAAATTTCCTATCCCCACTTAATGAGTCAAGTGACAAGCACAGAATTCTAGGTGTTATCGATGTAGACCCCCCCCCCCTATCAATATATATATTTTTGTCTTCACAATACTTTTTACACTTTTGCCCAACCTACATCATATCAGTCTTCCCATATCAATACTCAAAAATGCAGAAAAGGACGGTTTGTGTGAAAATGTTTTACTGAGAAGACTGTAGTGTGGCGATACAAAGCATAATAATTAGTGTTCTCATACATAATCATGTATAATTCTACAAAAATATATTCTAGACCCCCCCCAAAGAAAACGCTAAAAGCATTTCAGGAGACAGTACCAAAATATTTCCTTAGATCAGAAAATACAGCCCTCCGTAAAAGGAACCCAGCGTTCAAAACAGGTACGGATTTTCATATACACATATATTAAAACATTTGACTACAATATTTTAAAATTACATCATCATTATTGGCATAAAAATGTTTTACATAAAAAAAACAAAATAAAGACCAAGCCCCTCAGAAAGCTGTACACCCTAGAAACTACAGCATATGAACTACACAGTAGTGTACAAGTACCTATAAGAACTTTTATCTAGCCACTGTTCTCATTGGTGTGGACGGGGAAAGGCAACACTACTTGTTGTGGAATACGCCGTAGGGTTTTAAATGTGGATGTGGTTTATTAGCATCTGGTGCTAACGTCACCTTGTCGTCCAACCCTAATTCGTCAGCAACAGCTAATGGCGTCTTTATCCACCTATAATACACCATCTATGCAAATTCTGAGGTCCTCAATCTGGTAGAAAAGAAAAATCATGCATTTGAAATTAAGTTAAAAACAAAACTGTCTTAATTGCCAGTCTTTCAAACCAAACGCCACTGCATTTGCTCGGGTTGCTGCAGTGAACTGCGCAGACGCAGACGCAGGTGGTGTGGATGGCGGTTAGTCAGCATGTAATGGATTTAGTGGAGATACAGTGTTTGGTCTTAGCAGGCACAGGTGGTGGTCCCTCGCTCTCCTCTCTCTGGGTGTAGAAGCTCTTGAGTGGGAGGTTTCGCTCTCCAGGGCAAGGCTTTCTCATGGTTCAGTAGTGGTTCTAGCAGTAGTGTTCAGATCGTAAGCAAGTCTGGAATGAAGAGCGCATCCAGAATCGTTCAGGCACTGGGAATTAAAAGCTCAATCTGTGGACACAGCAGCAAGCAAAGAGGCTAAATGAACATATAACTTGTTACATTTTGGCTGATGAAGTATTAGAAATAATTATGACATGTCATGTGTCAATTCCAAGTGTAGTGCACAAAGTAATTTATTCACTTAAACAAATAGAAAATGATTTTCTCATACATTTATGCACATGGTAGGATACCATTAACAAGACTATAAACATCAACAATAATATTTTAAATATCATTTTTCTTAGCTATCAAATTCTCTTTTCAGTATCATCCCATTTACATTCACACTAATGTAACCCAGCTTTCCTGAATATTACATACGTAAACAAACAAATAAATAGAGTGAACTGAGACCAAAATAATTCATTTTGGCTGATGAAGTAATAATTATATGTATAAATAATTATGACATGTCATGTGTCAATTCCAAGTGTAGTGCACAAAGTAATTTATTCACTTAAACAAATAGAAAATGATTTTCTCATACATTTATGCACATGGTAGAATACCATTAACAAGACTATAAACATCAACAATAATATTTTAAATATCATTTTTCTTAGCTATCAAATTCTCTTTTCAGTATCATCCCATTTACATTCACACTAATGTAACCCAGCTTTCCTGAATATTACATACGTAAACAAACAAATAAATAGAGTGAACTGAAAATCTCAATCTGTGGACACATCAGCAAGCAAAGAGGCTAAATGAACATATAACTTGTTACATTTTGGCTGATGAAGTATTAGAAATAATTATGACATGTCATGTGTCAATTCCAAGTGTAGTGCACAAAGTAATTTATTCACTTAAACAAATAGAAAATGATTTTCTCATACATTTATGCACATGGTAGGATACCATTAACAAGACTATAAACATCAACAATAATATTTTAAATATCATTTTTCTTAGCTATCAAATTCTCTTTTCAGTATCATCCCATTTACATTCACACTAATGTAACCCAGCTTTCCTGAATATTACATACGTAAACAAACAAATAAATAGAGTGAACTGAGACCAAAATAATTTTACAAGATGAGTTGCATTTATTAACTATTATTATTATTTTTATTATTGCGGTCTCTACGAGAAAATCTAGTGATATCTTGATAAACATTCTCATCTACTCGGACTTTAAAAATATTTTTTAGACAATTTTACATTCACACTGTAGGTTATGTAACCCAATCTTTTATGCATCATGTAATCCAAATCTTATATTCAATTATTAAATTACTATCATATGCAAAGTATTATTATTTTATTGACACAAATATTATTTTTTAAAGACGGGAGATTAGAACATTCCTTTGAGTTTTTCTTAGAGACAGTTACAATAATAAACAATAAATAAAGACAGTACTAAAAATAATAATTTTTCTTTGCATGTGATAATGACCTGGTTCCAACCAAAGAAATTTGGAATCATTTAAATATTTAAAAAAAGTTAACATAGAGCACATTTTTATTTTATTTTATAATGCATAATATGCCAAACCCGAACCTCTTTTAAAGGGGTCCTATTATGATTTTTCAATTTTTCAACTTTAGTTAGTCTGAAATGTTGCTGTTTGAGCATAAAAAAGATCTGCAAAATTACAAAGCTCAAAGTCAAAAGGAGATATTTTATTTAACAGAAATCACTTTTCAAAAACGACAACGAACGACTCGTTTGGACTACAACGCATATTTTCAGGGGTTTGTGATATCATAAATACCAACGAATGGGACGAGACCTGGTTGAGCTGCACTAGAGAAGGCAACGAGTGCTATCACTATGTCGGAGACATGCTAGCTTTCCAAAGGGAGACGAAATTAGAGTGGTTACAATCATCCGGGTTTAAAATCGCGCTCAAATTGATTTGATTTTGACGCAATATTTACACTGAAGCTTGCAGTGGTAAGGAGACAGTATGGTAAGGAGAATGACATTTCCCGACCAGGCGCCGAGTGCTGCCAATCACAACACACACTGGCCCAGCTAACCAATCACAGCACATTTCGTATTTCAGAAGGCGGGCCTTCATTTGATACAGGAACTATTCGAACTGTTCATGCCAGACTGGGGAGAGAGGTGTTGTAATAATGTCAAATATGTGAAAAATTATGTGTTTTTCAAAAAACCTAGTATGAAAGCCTCTTCTAGTACCCCCCCAAAACAAAATCAAGACTTTGTAAAAGAGCATAATAGGACCCCTTTAAGTGATCAGCACTCAGAGCAGCTCCAAACATTTGGAGTGCTTACATAACACACTACTGCGCCGGAAGACATACAGGAAGATCTGCATTTCAAACACTGATCATCGAGTTTCAAAGAAGGCCGTTTTAGCACTGTTCTCTCAAATACTTGCTGGTTACAATATTATTATTAAAATGCAGAATACCAATTTATGCTAATCAGGAACAGAAAATAAATAATTACCTCCATTGCTTAGCACATTGCCTGCTTTTGGCTTTGTCTTCAGATTGTTTTCTAGGAACGTCCTTTAAACAAACAATTGGCAGATTATTCAAACCGTACGGGTATTAATGCATATTAATAAAGTAATAGGATCTACATTAAATTAAACCTTCTTACGTTTGATCTCCTTCTAGAGACTTCTGGATCTCCTGAAGCACTCCTGCATTAAAGCAAGATGTGAATCAAACAAATACACAAAGACTTTCCCACAAATTATATTTAGACACTATAAAAACTAGTCCAGCAAACAGCGCCCTCAGTGGAACTGCTCAAATACCCCAAATCTAGTTCTTCTGTTTATAAACAACAAATCAAGACTTTTTCACAGATCTTAATACAACAATATTATTGTGCAGGCAAATGGGAGTGTTACAGATCATGCACACATGACTGCACAGATAACTGAAAACATACAGCATGTTTAGATTATTGTTTTAAGCCATTTGCATGTCATCTGCATGTCACACATCCACAGCAAGCAGATATACAAACAATCTGATACTGCTCTACTGCTCTTACTTTACTTCTAAACTACTCCGTAATATGCTGTCTAACTGCTGATCCTCATGTACTCACTCTCATCGTTGAGCAAAGCATGCTCCATTACTTGTCTAGCAGAACTCTCTGGAACACACAAGCACATTGATCAGTCAGGCAAAAGCTTGCAAACACTCTGAGGAGGAGTTATGAATACAATTCATAATTGATGCAACTGGCAAGCCACAACAGTATTATCTTAGTATTATGTATAGACTATAACAGTATTTATTAATATTTTGAATTAAGGTTTTATTTGAATATTTTTCTCCATTTAATCTTAGTTTAATTAAGTGATTTGTTTAATTTTTCTTAGCTTTTAAATGAATTTTAGTATTTAGTTTATGTACTATAATAGTATTGATTAATTTTGAATTCGCTTTTATTTTTATATTTCGTGCTTTCATTTTATTTTCAATTTAAATTATTTTTTGGTCATTTTTTGTTTCGTCATTTTAAAAAAAATATTCAATTTTAGTTTATTTTCGTTTAAAATGTTACATTTATAAATTATTTCAATTAACAAAACACGTTTTTGATCGTTTTAGTTAAAGGGGTCATATGATGCGATTTCAAGATTTCCTTTCTCTTTGGAGTGTTACAAGCTGATTGTGCATAGATAAGATCCCTGAAGTTGCAAAGACTAAAGTCTCAAAACCAAAGAGAGATTCTTTATCAAAGACACTGCCACGCCCCCCTAAAACGGCTCGTTCTAACACGCCCCCACATACCTACCTCACTATGTGGAAATATTAGCATAATGCGGCCCAAATGTTCACGCAAAGAAAGAAGGCGTGGTTTCAGTAACCGCAGTTAGTGTTGATGCAGCATGTCAGGGAGACGCTGTGTGTTTCTAGGCGAAAGCAAAAGCACTTTATTTGGCCTTCCGAAAGTAGATGCATTTAGGAATCTTTAAGATGACTTACAACAGAACAGCAATGCATTTTATGGACGACCGTTTCGTGAACCTAGGAGAGGAGGTAATTCTGACTTTGCTATGACAATCTGGTGCTTCTGAATCAGCTACTGTTTTGTTATTAGTTTAAGTATTTGCTACTGACTGTTCAAATGCTGAGTTTTGCACATCGTGTGTGAGTGTGTTCGCGAGCGAGAGAGAGAGAGAGAGCGAGAGAGAGCGCGAGAGAGAGCGAGAGAGAGAGCGAGGGACTTTGTAGAAAACGAAGCGTTTGAGAGAGGCGGGGCATAGAGGACCTACAATAATGTACAGTTTTTGAAAAATAATGTGTTTTTTGAATATTAAAGCATGTCAACATATTCTGTTACACCAAATACACAAAATAATAATCTTTAAAAAAGCATCATATGACCCCTTTAACAATAACAACAATTGGCCACAAAATTAACATATAAATTAATATTAATATAATATAATGACACACTGCCTTCCAGTACACCTAATCAACTTCTAAATTTAGAATACTTGATTGTGATTGGTCAGTTGCAGTTTGTCTAATCACAAGCGCAAAACTCAAAATTACGAGTTCACTTGAAGGCTGTATTATAATTAGTGCTGTCAAACAATTAATCACATCCAAAATAAAAGTTTTTGTTTACACAATATATGTGTGTATACTGTGTATATTTATGTATATATAAAAACACGCATGCATGTATATTTTTAAAAAATATTTATATTTATATATATATATATAATGTATATTATATATAAATATAAATATTTTATATATAAGTATATTATATTTTTCTTAAATATATATACACATGCATGCATGTGTATTTATATATACATAAATATACACACAAGTTCTCACACACACACACACACACACACACACAATTTCATTATTTACTTGCCCACATGTCGTTTCACTGACTTCCTTCTGTGGAAAAAAGTTAATTTTTTTGAAATATTCTGGCTGCTGTTTTTTATATGTAATAAAGGTGAATGAGAACTGGCTCCAAAATGACAAAAAACACCACTATAAACATATCATAAAAGTGGTTCACATGACTTTTGCGCTATACAAGTCTTCTTAAATAATACAATAACTTTTGTGTGAAAAACAGGCAGAAATGAAAAGACTGACATCTGCCCTATAGCTCTCTTTGGTAAGTTCATGAGCGTTCATGAGAGAAGCAGCGATACTTTGAACAAATCATTCTTTTGAGTCAGATCTTTTTAATGAATCGCAGTTGATTCAATTCACAAAACTTGTCTGAATGAATTGTTCACAAACCGGACTGATCCCATTCTCGAGTTCAACTTACTGATTCAACAATCCAGTCGCAATGGTTCACAGCCCTCTAAAGGTGAAAATTATCACTGACTAACTTTAAGCCTGTTGCTTACAGAAAGCCATTGAATGACTTGAGGAACCTGTAATATGGTGGACAAGTAATATGAACTACTTTTATGATACTTTTGCAACCTTTTTGAAGCCTTTTAAAATCTTCAGTCCCCATTCATTGTAATTGCACTGAAAAGAGTTACTAAGTCGCATTTATTTATATAGCGCTTTTTGCAATACAAATAGTTCAAAGCAGCCTCACATTAATAAACCGAAAAAAGTGTTAATGTTGTAAAATAATAAATTTTACAACATTCAATTTCAGCTGTAAAGCAGCTCTACAAAAGGAAATAGTGTCATTATTAAGCTCAAGTTTTTTTTTTAAATTTAGTTCAGTTCAATTACAGTGTTAATGTTGCAAAGTTGTCAATATCCAGCTCAATTCAGTTCAAATGTATTCTCATCCAATAGTGTCAGTGCAGTTAAATCTATAATATTACTGAATACTGAATAATTGTCTTCACATTATTATTATTATTATTATTCCTTCCAGTACACCTAATCAACTTCTAAATTTAGAATACTTGATTGTGATTGGTCAGTTGCAGTTTGTCTAATCACAAGCGCAAAACTCAAAATTACGAGTTCACTTGAAGGCTGTATTATAATTAGTGCTGTCAAACAATTAATCACATCCAAAATAAAAGTTTTTGTTTACACAATATATGTGTGTATACTGTGTATATTTATGTATATATAAAAACACGCATGCATGTATATTTTTAAAAAATATTTATATTTATATATATATATATAATGTATATTATATATAAATATAAATATTTTATATATAAGTATATTATATTTTTCTTAAATATATATACACATGCATGCATGTGTATTTATATATACATAAATATACACACAAGTTCTCACACACACACACACACACATACACCCACCCACCCACCCATATATCATGTAAACAAAGTTTTATTTTGGATGCTATTAATCGTTTGACAGCACTAATTATAATGTATAATACCAGTATGTTTTTGGGGCTAATAATATGCCTCTTAATATATATAACTTTTGTTTTTAACAAAATTCCAAGTATTATTGTGGCATTGGTTCATCAATTACGGATTGTGTCCGTAAGTACAGACTAAAGTTTTTTGCATGAGTGACTTCTGAAAATAACATGGGGAAGCATTCATCAAAGCACTAAGAACATGCGTTTTTTTAGTATTGGATGCTTAGTTTGCACAATTCACACAGATTTGGAAAAAGCACACTGAATCTCACCATATCCTTCACTCTCCCTTTTGAAATTTCTAGAAAAACAGAAAACAAACAAACATCAATATAAAAACACTTTTGTCAATCCTTAACAACAGGAAAGGAATAATGGATTCTGAACTATTACTACACACACACCTGTGTTCAGTAGGTACTCCATCCGGCTGGTCCCTGTGGATGGGACTTGATGGGTTCTTGGGCCTCATCTGGAGGGGAGCCTCAACCAGACAACGAGGCTCCACCACCCAGCGGGTGGAGAGAGAAAACCGCTCAAACTCAGAAGGGGACATCAGATAAAATCCTAAAAGATAACCAGACAAAGAGTTTCAGAGGAGATTCATGCTTTTCCTTAAAGGGGTCATATGATGTTGCTAAAAATAACTTTATTTTGTGTATTTGGTGTAATGAAATGTGTTTATGAGGTTTAAGGTTAAAAAAACACATTATTTTCCACATACTGTACATTATTGATTCTCCTCTATGCCCCGCCTTTCTGAAACACATCGATTTTTACAAAGCTCATCGTTCTGAAAAGCGAGGTGTGCTCTGATTGGCCAGCTATCCAGTGCGTTGTGATTAGCTGAATTCCTCAAGCGTGTGACGGAAATGTTACGCCCCTACCATACTGTGATGTCGTGTCCCGGCACGACGAGACAAAACCAATAATGTGTTTTTGTCAGCATCATAGACTGTATAAGGTCAGCATGCGCGCCGAAGGGGAAACAGGGGAACTGAATTCACTGGAACACCGGTGGCTACTCTCCCAGGAAACAGTCCTCCATAAAATGCGTTGCTCACATCTGAATATTTGGTTTCAACTGTTCTGGAACAGTGTTGTAAATACAACTTAACCACAGATGTCTAGTTGTGTCCTCTTTTGGAAGGCCAAACAAAGTATTTGGCCTTCCAAATATGTCCACAATATGGCGGCGGCAACAATACTACAGCGAGAATCAAAGTTACGCCTTCTTTCTTTGTGTGAACATTTGGGCGGCGTTATGCAAATCTGACATGTGGGGGCATGTTTAAACGAGGCGTTTTAGGAGGGTGTGGATGAGTCTTAACTTTTATAAAGAATATCTCTTTGGGTTTGAGACTTTAGTCTTTGCAACTTTAGGGATCTTATCTATTCACGAACAGTTTGTAACACTCCAAAGAGAAAGGAAAACTTGAAATCGCATCATATGACCCCTTTATGTAAATGCACTGTGTAAAAGTGAGCGTTTCCTACCTTGGCCATATTTGGTGAACACACAGGATGCGATTCCACTGACGTCTTCTCTTCGTATGCAAGGATAGTGAACCATCATTTTGATGGAAGGCAAAGAGATGACGTGTAGCTCACCCTGATTGGTCAGCACCACCAGGCTGCTCTCCAACTGTTCATCGGTCCGAGAGCCAAACCAAGCGACACCCACACGGCGAACACGAGAGCCGTCGACCGCTGTCAGTTTCAGCTTTGACTTACTGCTCACTTTAGGCAGCGTAAACAGCTGTGCACACACAAATGTGGTAAGACACACAATCTATGTTGGCAATGGAGGTAGAACAAGTTGTGTGGTGTAAATTCTCACCTTTAATTGCTCCTCTGACACAACCAATAGGTGATGAGAACCGTGCATTTCAGGACTGCGCGCCAAATCATGGGCCACCTCCAGAGGCTCGGGCAGAGGGGCACCCTTGCCATCCAAGACCACCAAACCAACGACTGGAGCACGATGCATCAACTGAATCTCTTTAGCTGGTGATGGAGAAGCACTTTCTATACAAGATCTGTTTATGTAAACATTCGACTATTTATATTATGGGTTTTGTGTACACTACCGTTCAAAACTTTGGTGTCAATACAAGTCATACTCAATTTATTTTTTATATTTTCCACTTATAATAATAACAGAAAAGTCACTAAAAATGATACATTATGTACTGACCAAAATTCACACTTTACTGCAATTTTACCATGTTGTTAGGTGAAGCAGAATGGTCAAAACCCCCTTAAATGTGGTAAAATTACTAACACAAAGTCGTAATGTGGTTTATTGCTCTTACAAACACAAGTAACAATGTTATTAATAAAGAAACCAATGTTCAATAAATACATTTATTAAGTGATTTATTAAAATCTTTGTCTCTGTCCATCTGCTTTGGAGCTGAAATGCTTTTATTAAATGTTGTTTATATATTATAATTTTCCTTTTACCTGCATGAGCCACCACTGGATCCTCCGCCCTTCGTTCCAATGAGGGGACACGGAGGACATGCGCAAAAACAGCTCCACCATTGGTTCCTGCCCACAGTGAGGGCGTACTGTGAGAACCTGAGAAAGAGAGAGAGATCATGAAGGTCTTCTGCTAGTCACACACATGCCATCTGAGAGGATGCAGCAGGAATAATGGGAAGGAACATAACCCTATATTTAATATTTAACGATTAGAAACATTGTGGTACTCACTATCACTAACGAATGTATCTGCAAAGTAGAGTGTTCTGACGAGGCCCGTGAAGGAGTCGTCAGAGGAACGGGCTTCAATCTTTCTCTGTACAGGTGCCAGCTCCATCTCCTGCAGAGCTTCGGCCACCAGCCTGTTGTTGATCTCTTGCAGCTGCAGAAACATTGCACAGATATTCACTATCAAGCCGTCACCACCCATTTAACAACTCTGAATTATGCAATGCTAACCGCAGCTGAAATAACAGCATGCATGATGTCTAGTGTCATGTTCAGTTAATTTGTCGTGTGAATAACTGGAGCATTAGCGAAAAAGAGAGATGATATGTACCTTAGCTGCGTTGTTAGTGTGGTGTTTTCGCATGGAAACCCGGCTGCGGCGAATCCTGCGGAAGGACTGTCTCAAGGACTTCTTGATGGACTTGACGCGTGAGAGTGGCCCCTCCAAGGCCATCTGGTCACTGGGATTTAGGGTGCACCTGCAAATGGACAGCAAACAACTATTAGCATGCTCAAAGTCTGCAGGAAAAAAACACAACTAATAGAATTTATCTTTGTAATAATCTTAAACAATCTTAACAGTCTTGATCCTAACAATTTAAAAGTAAAGTTTGGGCTCAGAAATAAAAGGCTTAAAATAATTGTAATATGGACAATTTTGAATTGTGGCTACAACATTAAACTAAAAATGTAAGTAAAATGTACATTTTCTTTTAAATTGATGGATATCAAGTCAAAAGGTCGTAATTTTCAAGACTCTAAAATACATGAGTATGATTTTTTTAGAATTTAGAATTTTTTTAAATGATCAAAAGTGACATTAAAAGACAATAATGTTACAAAAGACTTCAATTTTAAATAAATGGTGTTCTTTTGAACTTCTGTTCATCAAACCTGGGAATTTTTTTTTTTTTTTAGCATTCACAAAAATATTAAGCAGTTTTCACTGATAATAATAAGAAATATTATACATATATTAAAAGAGAAAACTGTTATTTTAAATTGTTATAATATTTAAAAAATATTACTGTTTTGATCAAATAAATGTAGCATTGGTGGGCAGAAGAGACTTCTTTAAAATTTTTTTTTACAAAACTTACTGAACACAAACTTTTGTACAGTAGTGCAATTCGGTCTAAATTTTAGGTAAAAAACATTTTATAATTTCTACTACTTTTCTATTATTTTAAATGCGGAAAACATTACATTTGAATTATATCACGTAAAAAAATATAAATAAAACAATACGGTTTAACATTTTACCTTTTTAATTTAAATTATTTTAATGAAAAGCCAGTTTATCATATGATAAGTGAATCAGACTAGGTGCTGTTTTTCCACTTTTTATCCACATATCATATTTTTCATATCATATGATAAAAGTACACCATGGTGACTAACACTGTAGCTATAATAAAGACTTCCCTTTTTGAAGGGAACATTTCTTTAATTAGACTATTGTGATGAGTGTATTGTCACTCATCATCAGTCTGAACCAAATAAAACAACATAAGTTTCAAGTACATGTTAATTTGTGATACCCTGAAAGTCTGCTTGTTTTAATAGTTACAAATCGATCTTTTGAACTAATAAAACTGGAATACTATTTAAAATGTTATTCTTCTCACTTGACCAAGATTTTATTCCTCTGGTGGTAGTCATAGAGACCAAAGCCATGGCTGGTACCGAAGGCCACCATTTTCCACTCTGAATGCAGAGCGATTGCTGTGACCACAGCGGGCGGCTGGCACTGCACTAGAGCGAAGGGCTGGAAGCCTGGAGGGAACAGCACTGGCTCCTCCCGCACGTCTAGACGCGCCTGGCCCTTCCAGCGAAATCCCTCCTGACCCTGCAGCAGGTCCACCACTGTAGCCTCGACCGTCTGCTCGGCAGCCTCATCATTCAGCTCCAAAACCAGAATCTGAGTGGGAGGAAGGATTTTATTTCATACATTTTGACAGAAGCAGATGAAAATTAAACGGCAATATCTCACTTCTGTACTAACATATTCTCTCACCAGACCTGTAAAATGGAGTATACACATTTTTTTTTGTCATTACAGCTACATTCAGGGTATACTAGGGATGCACCGATACCATTTTTTTTCTGATCCGATACCAAAAATTCAGAGTATCGACCGATATCGATCCGATAACAGCACTGTTTTTTTTTTTATAATCTATGTAGAATTTCTATACCTCAGTGTGTTGACCTGATCATCACTGTTTTTTGTGTTGAACACAATCTACTAAATATAGACAACTTCATTTTAAAGAAAAATACATGAAAAAATATATAATCATAATCCATAATAAAAATACTTATAAACTAGGCTAGTGGATAATTCAGCAGCAAAAGTTATTCTAGAAAAATCATGAGTGCACAATTTTATAAAATCTAAACATTTAGTGAAATAACATTATTTAGTGGGGAACAAATAAAAGTGAATAAGTGTAGGACTGAATCTGGTAAAATGTTACACATTGCTCTTTGTATTGTTGTAAAATATCATGAAATCATGAAAAACAAGTAAATAAAAAAAATCATATAAATATAAATTATAAAATTAAAAGACATTTCTTTTAAATGTATAGCACAGTAATGGAGGCAGCAACATATGATAGATAGGACAGAACAAGAAAGGCTATTAATAATCTTTCATTGTACAAAAGTATTATAATACGAAAGGCTCCAATACAGAGCGGCACAGAGCGCTTATGTGCATCCCGTGCGCAGAATGATGCGCTTGAAGCAACAGTCACAGCGCAGCATAGAAAAGTTCAAAGCACGAAGAAAAAAAGAGATATTGATGCGTAGTGTATTAAATCTGTGCGACAGTTTGAGCCTTTTCTTTTAACAGTTTTAAATTTCAGTTACTGCGCTCATGGAGAGAGTTTAATTGTCTTGACTGCCATAACAGAACGCGGCACGCAGTTTGAATGCTGAATGGAGGATGACAGACAGCCGCAATGGAGAGAAGAGTTTACATGAACTTGACTTAAATATTCATCTCTACCTCACATTAAACTATGTAACTGCTTCAGAACACTTGGAATATAGTGCACGAAAACTTCATGGTGCTTTATAATGTTTTTGTGCATTTTGTGGGGCTTAACAATAAAACAGAATACTATACGCACAATATCGGATTTGGATCGGTCTCGTCTGACCGATACCCAAAAGAAAGTATCGGAGTATCGGATCGGTGCATCCCTACATTCATGTCCTTACAGCAACATTCACATTTCAGTAGTTCAGTCAAAGGACAACAGGAGAGCACTGATCTTGAAGAGTGGCTTTTCACCAAGCTCATTTCCAAATGGCAGACATAATGTGAAGTGGACTGTTAATAATCAATTAACTCAAGAGTGCTTTAGTCAAGTTCTCTCTAATGATTAATTATCAACAGCCACTAAACATTCTGAGAACTGGGTGTACTGGAAAAGAGATCAGATCTTCAGCACAAGCAAGTGAGAATAAATTCATAGACATACAGCTCCATAAGCGACAATCAATGTTTCACAAAAAAATGATTTATTCAGCAAGGATGCTTTCAATTGATCAAAATTGACCAAAATGGCATTTGTAATCTTATGAAAGATTTTGATTTTAAATAAATGTGAATCTTCTAAAACTTAATCTTGGTGGAATTACGGTTTCCACAAAAATATTTACTGTTTTTAACATTGATTAAATCCTTCTTGAGCACCAAATAGGCATATTACAATGATTTTTGAAGGATAATTTTAAACTGAAGACTGGAGTTATGATGCTGAAAATTCTGCTTTGCTGTAACAGGAATAAATTGTTAAAAATTAAAATGTTTTAAAATAAAAAAATGTTAAAATATATTTAGTGTAAGAATTTCACATTATTACGGTTTTTATTGCATCTTACTCAGATAAATGCAGCCTTGTTGCGTATGTAGTAATTTATGTAACAACTGAACAAAAGGTAACATTTTAATATTGCGGTCTTTAATGATGTATGTCTTCCCTTAAACTCCCACATTAAAACGTACTTGTCCTGCAGTTCCAGCCACTGTGAGATATCCGCTGTATTTACACAGGTGGATCTTCTGAATGCCAAGCCGAGGGTCATCGCTATATGGGTCAAAGCAGCCCACCTGATATTTTTAAAAACAATAAATACACAAAATCAAATGTCTGAGGAAATCAGTAAACAACGGTGTTAACTAGAAGTGTGAGTGATAATACTTGTACAAGTAAGTGTCAGTCAAACCAGACCTTGCGGAATGGAGGCCACTCTCCCTCACTGCCCTGGTTCATGTTGTCATTTGGGTCGGCGTCTGTGAGGAAGGCTCCCGCTGTGCTGAGCTTGTACATGGGGTAAAGACAGACCCCTGAGGCATCCCAGAAACGCACAGTGCCATCTTCATGCCTTTCAAAAGAAAGATGGATACAAAATATTTAAAGTGAAAAGTAAGATCCATTTTAACCATCAGTTCCTCATTCTCTACATGCAAAACCATTACAGCGTCTTAACAACATTTTTCCTTGTTATTCACATGATTTTCATGAAAAGGAAAAACCCAGCTGTATTGAGCAAACACATTTTAAACAGGGTCCAAGTACCAACAGGTTGCCAAAGTTGTTTCAAAGCTACTAACAACTAGCTTTGAAGGAATGAACTAGAATTACTGGACTAATACTCAACTTTTAGAAATTAAAATATTCATGATCCAACAGGCAAAATAAGAACAAAAACCTGAACTTTCCAGTTTTTATTATCTGATGCAAGTGATGTGAGTGGCTCAAAACAGACACAGTCTAAAAGAAAAGCTTACCAAATTTTCAACTACATTTTTTTATTTTGTTTTACTCATTTATATATATAAAATCACAGTTGCCACAAAAATATTAGGCAGAACAGCTGTTTTCAACATTGATAATTATAAGAAAATTTTCCAGAGCAGAAAATCAGCATATTAGAATGATTACTCAAGGATTATGTGACACTGAAAATTTTGCTTTGCCATCACAGAAATAAATTACATTTAAAAATATTGCATAGTTATTTTAAATAATAAAAATTATACAATATTACTGTTTTTACTGTATTTTTTATTTTAAAAATGCAGCCTTGGTGAGCACAAGAGTGTTTTTTTCTAATTAATATTTAATAAAATATCATACAGAAGTAAGCTTATTGCCTGTATAAATTTTTTTTTTTTAACCATTTATTACTCATGGGTATGTTCTTCATTTTCACATGCTTATAATTATGAACAGAACAACTTCCCATATTTTACAGTCTGAAACTTTACAGTTATTTCAAGACTGCGAGATCACACCAAGATCGATAGCATTCGCTCACACAGGTCTACTCACCCTGTCAGGAGCAAGTCTCTCTGGGGAGGGTCTGGGGCAAAATTCTGGCCTCCATTTATAGGCCAAGGCTACAAAAAGACAGATTTACAAAATCAAGAATTGAATGGCTCAATAGAATCAAGGTCAGTGATTAAAGACGTCTATGGACTGACTAATAAATTACAGAACGTTTAGCAAACACTCAGCAATCAAATAAAAAAAAATATATATATAAATAAAAGAGAGCCTCCATAGCATAACGTGAGGTAAACCGCAAAGAGAAGCTTTTCAAAATGAAAACAAAAAGAAAAGTAAAACTTAACTTGCTGCCGGTGACAGTACTTGTATGTTTTTCCCCCCAAAAGAATACCAACATGTTCACCTTCTCTGGTTTAAGAAACTGTCTTTTATTCTACTTTAGCGTGAAAACCATCCAATGTTTGCTCAATATTCGCGTCATTTTTGCTGCGCACACCTTCTTGCTCCTGCTAGCGTGGCAAGTATAAAAAAACAGGCTCTACACTCTAAGCGCTGTGCAGTTCAAATGAGTTGCCATTTGATGTTTCTCATATGCAACAGAAATGGCAGCGCTTGGGAGTTGAACAACGCGGTGGTCGCGGCAGTGAGACCGCACACAAAATTTAGTCACACAGGCAGAAAAACAGTAAAAAATCTGGGTGTTATATTAAACAGCAACTTGTCTTTTTAAAATCATATTTCCCCATGTTACAAAAACAGCATTCTTTCATCTTAGAAACATTGCCAAGCTACGAAACATGTTACCTATTTCTGATGCAGAAAAGCTAGTTCTTGCATTCATGACCTCTAGACTGGACTATTGTAATGCACTGCTAGGTGGTTGTCCTGCATCCTCAATAAACACGCTACAGGTAGTCCAAAATGCAGCGGCTAGAGTCCTTATGAGGTCAAGAAAATATGATCATATTAGCCCAATTTTACAGTCTCTGCACTGGCTACCTATTAAGTTCCGTATCAGTTACAAAATATTATTACTCACCTATAAGGCCCTTAATGAGTTAGCTCCTGCGTAAAACAAATCAATTTTGCTTGGTTGGAACAGCAGCTACACTAATTATGTCTCTATCTGTTTCTCTGTTTCTGTAACTAGGATTTACACAAGCTTCAAGTCTGTTCAAGTAAGTCTGGATCCAGAACACCTGAGAAGAGATGATGCCAGCCCCTCAGAGGACCTCAGATGATGCCAACCCTGAAACAACATACAGAACTACCACATTTTTCTTGCATCTCATAATCTTGTACTGTGGTTATATCTGATCAAATGCACATTATTATTCTTTAGCTTGGGTTAAACAAATCAATTTTGCTTGGTTGGAACAGCAGCTACACTAATTATGTCTCTATCTGTTTCTCTGTTTCTGTAACTAGGATTTACACAAGCTTCAAGTCTGTTCAAGTAAGTCTGGATCCAGAACACCTGAGAAGAGATGATGCCAGCCCCTCAGATGATGCCAAACCTGATACAACATACAGAACTACCAAATTTTGCTATAAGTTTGATTCCAATATATAATAATTGCTGTTAATAGTGTTCATCGTCTGTTTGATTACGTCTTAAATTAATTTTTCTGTACATTTCTGCCATACGTACATTAAATGACATTAACGCACTGGTAAGCTACTACTAAATATATTGTAGAAACTTAATTTTCTGCAAAGCTTCTTTGCAACGATTGTATCGTGAAAAGCGCTATACAAATAAACTTGAATTGAATTGAACTGAATTGATTAAAGAAGCGATAACACTGCAAGTATAAGGTACCTGTGTGCCTAGGAAGTGTTGGATGGGACGCTGCCGGTCCAGATCCCACAGTACCATCAGGCCTCGGGTGTAGCCGATCAGCACCTGCCGTGGGTTGAGCGGGTTCTCATGCAGAGTCTCCACACACTCCAGATTCCTGCGGCCAACATAATCCTCTGGAATTCTGGAAAAAGTAGCGGTGAACAGATCAGCGATCACAAAGCATAACTTAACAGTCGTCTCAGGCATGCAAAACTCTTGGATAATACCATTCCACTGAAACTATTTAAAGAATGTATGTATAAAGACAAAATTAATTACGAGATTATAGAGCTGAGGATAAGTCTATTAAATATGTTAATTTTTAGTTCTTGGCTTTAAATAGTGTTCATATGTAAAGTGACCAAACCTTGTATTTTGCTAGATTTTGTAAAAGGTGTTTTGGGCATGAATTCATAATTCAGATCAACATGATGTCTGACCTTTTCTGTACATCCTCCACGCTGATGTTGTTCTCCTCCAGCTCTCTGAAGCCTGGCACTTCCACAACAAACACGTGTCCACCCTCTGTGCCCAGCAGCAGCAGCTCACCCGATGAGTGTGCCAGAACCGCAGTGACCCGCGTCACACTGGGAGGGGCACTGTCAATGTTTCACATCATAAACGGGTCAAAATCACACTAGTGATTTTTTTTTTTTTAATTACTACCCCACTTATATTAGACACTGGATGAAAACTGTATGCTGGCTTATTTTTAGGTTATCTACATTGTTTTTTTTACTTTTTTGATATAATGCATTATTAAAGTTTTTACCCATGCCTTTATAAGGCATATAAAGTATTTTTATAATCTTTTTTTCTATGTATTTTTATCAATAATCAACCAATTACAATACAAATACACACTGAAACATGAAACAGAATATTTTAATTATAATATCTTATTAAAATATTCTGTTTCATGTTTTATAAATATAAATATTTGAATCTCTTACAATATTTAATTATAATTCTTTTTAGGCATAAATACAAGACAATATAATGTATAATAATTATGATTACAAATTCCATACAAATGTGGCGCCACCAGAACATATCTGATGTTTAATATGCTGCTATGTGAAGTGGGTGATTAGACCAATAAGATTTCTTTGTGGGCAGGGCTACCCAGCATGACAAAACAGAAATAAAATCCAAGACTGCATCTGAAATTGCATACTTCCATACTATATAGTGGGCAAAAAAACGGTATGTACGAATTCACAGTATTCACAGAATTCTGCATGCAATTGACGCTGGTAGGTCACATGACAATGACAACATGATGAATATAGTACACCTGGATTACATTCATACTAGAAGTACATTCTCAGAGTGTATGCGATTTCGGATGCAGCTTAAAGGGATACTCCACCCCAAAATGAAAATTGTCATTAATCACTTACCCCCATGTCGTTCCAAACCCGTAAAAGCTTTGTTCGTCTTCGGAACACAATTTAAGATATTTTGGATGAAAACCGGGGGGCTTGTGACTGTCCCATAGACTGCCAAGTAAAATACACTGTCAAGGTCCAGAAAAGTATGAAAAGCATCGTCAGAATAGTCCATCTGCTATCAGTGGTCCAACGGTAACATTATGAAGCGACGAGAATACTTTTTGTACACGAAGAAAACATAATTAACGACTTTATTCAACAATTCCTGTCCTCTGTGTCTCTCCACATCACCGTAGCGCCATTTTAGAGAATATCTGCTGAATGCAAACTGCGTACGCTCTTCTGTGTCAGCTGCGCTGCACGGATGCGCTGTTTTCTTTCAAATCAAAGCATAAAAACACGCAGAAAACATATCTTTGTGGTGCAGCTGACACAGTATAGCGTACGCAGTTTGCGTTCAGCTCATATTCTCCAAAATGGCGCTACGGTGATGTGGAGAGACACAGAGGACAGGAATTGTTGAATAAAGTCATTATTTTTGTTTTCTTCGTGTACAAAAAGTATTCTCGTCGCTTCAAAACGTTACGGTTGAACCACTGATGGCAGATGGACTATTCTGACGATGCTTTTCATACTTTTCTGGACCTTGACAGTGTATTTTACTTGGCAGTCTATGGGACAGTCACAAGCCCCCCGGTTTTCATCCAAAATATCTTAAATTGTGTTCCGAAGACGAACAAAGCTTTTACGGGTTTGGAACGACATAGGGGTAAGTGATTAATGACAAAATTTTCATTTTGGGGTGGAGTATCCCTTTAAGAGACCAAAATACCCTGTCACTTGTTGCTGGATAATAACAGAAGTATTCATGGGAGGAGAGAATATGACATCATAGGCTGCAAAAAATGCTACTTTGAATCATGGAAGTCAGCTGACTGCATGTGTACATCTATGGATTCATAGCACAAGTGAGTCAGTCACGTCTGGGTCAGTGTGAGTCAGTGCTCATGTCTCATTCGCTGGGTGTGAGTGCATGAGCATCCCAGCAGGTTAAAAACATCTTCAAGCATGATAATATTAGACTGAGGTGAGTCTGTAGGTGTGTGTTCCTGACTCACCCAGGTGGACCAGAGAGAGTGAAACGTCCTATCTCAAGCAACTCGGACATGCTGGTATGGGCCCGAAGCGTCCACATGTGCAGACTGTTGTCATCCAATAATGTTACCAACTCCACCTGCAATAAATAAATAAATAAACACAAATTTTAAAAAAATACAAAAAAAAAAAAAAAACACTTCATCTATTCTTCTAATTAAAAAGAAAATAATTAAATGTATTTAATTCTCTGTGGATTATCCAAAAACTAATATCACAATAGATATTATTTATATATATATATATATATATATATATATATATATATATATATATA